TATCAAAGCAAGGATCGGGAAAGCAAGGCAAACTTTCATTACCCTCAAGTCTGTATGGAGATCAACAGCAGTCAGCATGAAAGTGAAAATAAGATCCGGATTTTCAACTCCAATGTGAAGTCAAGGCTGCTTATTATTCACATCAGAGACTTGGAGCGTCATGAAGGGCACTTCGAACAAACTACAGACTTCCACTAACAGCTGTCTTCGTTCAATGCTACTCAAGATCAGATGGCTGGCCAGAAAAGATCAGCAACAGGGATCTCTGGGAGCGAACCAAACCAGCAGGAACCGATTGTGCAACAAATATGCAGGAAGAAATGGAGGTGGATTGGCCATACTCTGAGGAAACCATCAAGTGACATCACACGACAGGCTCTCGAGTGGAACCCTAACGGGAAGCGGCGAGGGTGATATGGAGGAGGTCATGTGAAGAGGAAATGAAAGCATGTGGGCAGACGTGGAGCCAGGTGAAAACGTTGGCAGAGAACCGAACGCAATGGAGACGTGCGGCTGAAGCCCTATGTTCCTCTAAGAATTAAAGGAAACAATAATAATAATAGATATCAGAACTATACTTAGCTTTTACCAGAGAGTTTGTTACTATAAAAAGCAAAGAACGAAGTATTATTTATTATTGTTCCCTTGTGTTCTGAGTGGAACATAGGACTTCAACAGCAAGTCTCCACTTTGTCCTATTCTCTGTGTACCTCTTTTGCCAACCCCACGATTGCCCATATACTCTCACCTTCTCCTCGTACGACCTCCTCCATGTCGCTCTCAGACCAACGCTCAACTTGTTCTTTCCCATTAGGGTTCCACTCGACGGTCTCCTCAGTATGTGCACAATCCTTCTCCATTTTCCTTTTGGTTGGTTAGTCCCCAGAGCTCCTTGTTGCTAATCCTTTCTGGACGGCCATGTGATCTTCAGTATGGAGCCAGAGAAGGCAGCTGTTGACAAAAGAATGCAGTAGCCAGCTGGAAATGCTTTTTGTGATGAGAACACCAAATTTCTAAAGCATATAGAAGAACTGACTGGCTTAACACCGGTGTTGAAAATCCAAATTTTGTTCTTTATTCTGAGTGCAGAAGATTTCCAAAGTGATTTCAGAGTGATGAAGGTCTGTCTTGTCTTTTCGATCCCGACCTGCTTTGACATCCTCATCTGTGCCTCCTCTAGTTGAAACGATGCTGCCTAGATAAGTGAAGGAATTAACCCTTTTCGAATTTCTCTCGTTGATAGTGACTGATGCTGGTTGTTGATGGTTGGTTATCCTTATCACCTCCGACTTCTTTATTTCCACCTGAAGTGCTGTTTTTGCTGCTTCTTCAGCCAGTGTATTGGTTTTTGCCTGCAAGTCTTTGAGTTTGTGTGACAATGAACATAAGTCATCTGCGAAATCCAGATCTAGTAGTCTGTCTGTCTATTTTCGACATAGAAGTTTGCACCGATGTGAGGCAGTTAAAGTCGCTACACTCCATTTAGCACACAAATCAAGGCTGGCTGGATTCAACATAGAACTTGGCACCGAAGTGCAGCACTTCGAGTTGCCACGTTCCAAATAGCACACAAAGGTAGACAAGAAGATGAGTGAAGAGAATCATTAGAGTTTTGACAAGTATAAGAGTGAAACAGAATGAGTAATGGTAGAAAGGAATATGAAAGGTTACAGAGACTGAATACATCTGCGTAAGCCATTGAAAACGATTTTGAGCCATGTCACCTATTGTCTCCAGCCATTGATTCTTAGAGTCCCGAGGGCGGGCCCCGACCCGGAAGTCTGCATCTCCCTACCTGACTCAGTTTAACTGTCAAGGATTTCATGGATTGATTGATGCCATGTTTTTGTTTGGCCCCCACTTACTCTTTTCCAACCTGCAACTATATCAGCTAGTAATGCCCGTCCGTCGGGGGAGGCGATGGTTAGGCATGCGCAGCACGTGACCTAGCCATCTCAATCTATGTAACTTTATAGCCTCTTCGATTGATTTTCCCTCTTTGCCCAACACTCTACGCCTAACGTCAACATTACTTACCTTATTATACCACCTAACGTGAGAAAGAGATCGTAAACATCTATGATCAAAAACAGACAACCTTTTCATGTCTTCAACTCGTATTGGCCATGTTTCAGAGCCAAGAGAAAGAAAGTAGAAGAAATGCATAATATAGACAGTAAACAGAGGTGTGAGACAAAAGAATAGTAATTACGAAGAACAATATGGTTTCATTGGAAATCATAAGTCACAAGGAGTGGATGCATCTGCGCCACTGAGAATGATTTTGAGCCATATCACCAATTGTTTCCAACCATTGGTTTTTACCGTCCCGAGGACCCCAACCAGGAAGTTTGCACCTTCCTACGTAGCTTAAACTAACTGTTGTAGATTTTACTGACTGGTGCCATGTTTTCGTTTGACCGCCGATAGATCTTTTCCAGCCTGACCCTATGTCAGCTAACATTGCCCATTGTCGAGGAAGGCGATGACTAGGCATACGTAACACATGTCCTAACCATCTCAATCGGTGTAACTTCACAGCCTCGTCGACTGATTTCCCCTCCTTACCTAGAACTCGACCGAAGCCTAACCTCAATATTGCTCACCTTATTATACCACTTCACACGGGAGATAGAGCGCAAGCACCTATGATCAAAGACAGTTAATCTTTTCATGTCTTCTACTCTCAATGGCTAGGTCTCACAGCCATAAAAGAGGACGGAGCGAACTGATGAACAGCACACACACCCTTGGCTCGACAGCCAGCCGAATATCACGTCTACATCACAGACGGCCTAAACTGGCATATGCGAAACTAGCCCTCTGTATCCATACTCAGCTGAGATTTCGTCAGAGATCAACCCGTTGGGGCTGATGTAGCTTCCCGAATAAGTGGAGCGGTCAACATGCTCTGCCACTTCACTCCCTATTTCTAAAGCAGGAGGGAGCTAATCGCACGCCAAACATTTGTAGATTGTAGCTCAAGGTGTTTACAAGACTTTGGATTTTTTCAGAGTCTTCACCAAGAAGGACTATATCATCTGCATATTCTAAGTCGACGAGATTATTCCCTGGTAACAAGTTAGTCCCTGAGTCGCTGAAGTGAGTTTCAAATATCAGTGATGGATCTAGTAGAGTTTTCGTATCGGTCCAGCATATTTTCGTCTTCTAGCTCTGACGCATAATCCAGTCCATCACAGCTAGGAATAAAGTAAGCAATAATAATCCAGCATTTCTCAGAAAGCGAATTCTTCATTGGAAGCCATTGTAACATGACACAAAGTGACTGAATTAATGTTAAAAGATGACAAAAGTGAAAGGATCTCTCCAACGAGAGTTGGAACATTTATTACGATAAAACCAAAAACATCTTCAGCACTGAAGATGTTGTCTAGAAGGACGACGAAAGCTTCGCAATTAAATCAACCAGCTCAGAGAATAAAACTAATTCAAAATCAACCACCTGAACTACAAATCTCAATTATTTCAAATACCTCCTGATAAATTTACTTAACTTGTAATTACTACACATAACAAAATATATAAAGAAATGAAACACTGAGACTTACGCTTTGAGATTTACCGTCTTTTGCACCCTCTAATTGTACTGTGATATTATTACCAGATTTTGAAGCGGATAGAACTTTAGTATTCAAAAGGAATTTAAGACCTTGTTTAGTTAGTATTTTTTGGAAGTTTTTGCTTATCTCCATATCAATGCCCATTCCACCAACATGACCAAGGAATTCTACACAAGTGACCTGAAATAGAGAGCACAAAAGTTTATATTAAATAGGCGGGAATACTGTTTATATATATAAAGTGTTAAAGGCAGAATCATTAATCATAGAAATTTTACATGAACCTGGATTTCAAGGGAGACAACCTGAGATATCCTTAAGAGAAGAATTTCATCATAATTGAGAAGAACATTCTTCGTAGCAACGTTAAGAGTAGTGTTCACCAGTCATCCATCGGTCTGCAGAAGCTTCAAGGACAAGATCTCGCACCTGAGCACTTCCAATTCCTTATATCACATCATCTGTTGTTGTAGAGCCAGGTAAATTGGTCGTTCGATGCGTATCCAAAGCCTCAGGATGGTCGGGGGTGGGTGCCTTGCGCTGCGGGTTGGCCACCCCTCCGCACACCTCTTGAAATGCTCCCATATGACCGGGCGTCTTACATAGCCTCTCCTGAGGAAGTCCTACTAACTGCCTTCACGTGGCGGAGGTGTTTTTCACCAAAGTGAGAGGGCGAAAGCGGATGCCCGGCGCTCTTCACCGGGTTGACTGTCCATTGGATGACAGTCTAGGGGAGATAGCTAAACCCTGATTCCAAACCTCCAACGACTGGCGTATGAAGCTCACTGGAGCTCACCCGCAGACGTATGGACAAAGGGCTTGTTGGATGTCCTGGATGTCTGGCCTTATTCAAAAAGGCGTATGAACCGAACTCCGGTCACCGGCTGCCAATGGATAGTGGACTCCCTACTCCACTCCTACTGCCTTGTAGGTCACACTTGGTTGTGTAAAGGCTAGAGCTGCACCCTCAAACAAAAGGCCGAGCGATTCTGGGGACATCACTCGTACCAAATTCCCATGAAACTTCATGAACTCCCTTCATCAGATTACCGCGCCTGGGCAGCGATGATTCGAGATGTTCATGAAGCCGGCTCATCCTCCCGTAGGAGATAGCCGAAGTAAAGTAAAGTAAAAGTAAGTATCTTGTCTAAAAGGGTTCAATGACACTATACCACACGGTTGCAGAAAGGTAGTAGTAGCTCTATGAGGAGTGTGATAATCGAACACCTAGTCAACACTGGTCGTTCTATCTCGACAAGCACACACCTCCATCAAAGTAATCTACAAAGTGAAGAACAAAATCTACCAAAGGCAATACGCTTTCATCTCCTTTGAATTGTTGAAGACTTAGCCATTCAGTTAGCAAACCAGAGTTATGCATACAAAAGAAAATTATTTGACTATTTCTAATATCATGGTAACAAGCGTGTTGATTTCTACTGACTCTTCTGATTCTTTAGAACTATTAAATATTTTGGATAAGATTTTATTTTGATAAATCACACAGTGTTGTACAGTAATATTAACTGATGACGTTTCGAAAACAAACTATTGCCACTTATAATCATATCAACTTGATATGATTACTCGGTGCAATTAATTTTATGGAAACAGTAATGATCGGACGTACAGAGCAACCACACATCCTCAGTTCTAAGGGGCCAGGCTTTACAAGAGTTGAGCAACACTACATACACCGAAGCGTTGTAAACCAGATGTTTACCAGCCACACTGAATGTTAATCGCGATAGATAGATAGACTGTATGATAAACAGCCAATCAATACTATGTGACCTTTTTTGTCGCGATCATTGGTCGATTTATTGTAACTCTCACCACGTGATGACCTTGAATGTTCTTTTTTGTCTGTCACTTTACTTGTATATACATGTAATTAATTGACTGTTCATTTTGTCCGTACCTTCAATACTGTTCGGTACGTTTTTGTCCTATTTTTGTAATGACAATGGATTTGTACATTTTTCTTGGTGTAATTGTATGGTCTATTTTATGTTTTAGAAACAGATAAAGTTAAAGTCAAGTCATCCTGTTTTTAACTATAGCTAAGCCGAGACTCTGTGTCGTCAGTATTGAGGAGGGACTAAATCTGTAGGATAAAAATAATCCTACAAAGTTTCGAACAGTATTTCAAGTGAAAGTTTCGAACAGCTTGCAGACGAAAGTTTCGATCAGTATGGCAGACAAAAGTTATGAAACTATGCCGTCGTTAACTCCACAATTAGGAAAGAGTAATGAAGCTGATTTCCTTGGAAGCAACGAGTATAAATCACGCTATATGATAGAATTGGAGCTAGCGAAATTGCGCATAGTCCAAAAAGAGAAAGAAATGGAATTAGAAAGATTACGACAAGGTAGTCGCGAATGTTCTTGTCACAATAAATCGCCTTACAAACCTTCTACTTCCTATAAAGTCGCTGTATCTCTTAATGATGAGTCCGCCAGAACCATATCTAAGTTTCTGGACATGCTTAAAGCATATCAATATTTTAAGTGGAATGCCGATGAACTTGAGTGTTGGATCAATGAAAAACTGCAAACATATACAAATGAGGATTTTAAAGAACTCAGTAATCTTCAGCTGAAAAAACAGAAACATCAAGAGTTTGAGTTCGAAGTAACAGTTCATGCTGAAACACTCTCAGCTCTAGATTCTACGGGAGAAGAAATGATTGGTCAGGGGTACTACGCAACAGATATTATCAAAAACCGTCTTGATGAATTGCATGCCCTGTGGGTAAGGCTTATGGCTATTTTCAGAGAAAAATCCAGTGTCATTAACCTAAAGCTTGAATTTGTCCAGTTTTCACGCCAAGTCGACGAGATACTTTTCTGGATACGTGAAAAAGAAACTTACGTAACATCAGAGGATTTAGGTCAAGACTTGGAACATGTTGAGACACTTCAAAAAAAGTTTAATGAGTTTACAAAGGATCTCGAGTATAAAGAAAGTCGTGCCGAAGACATCTATCGGAAGGCAGATGAATTTCTAAAAGAGGAATTTCCTGAGGATGCCCTAGTCATAGAAAAGTCCAGAGAGGTCCGAAAAGCTCTAGAACGTCTGAAGGATCTGACTAGAAAACGACAAGAGAAGCTCCTGGAAGCCTATGACATACAGCGCTTCTTTAGAGACATAGATAGAGCTATATCGTGGGTGAATGAAAAGTCCATTCCTTTATCCATTGAGGACTGTGGTCGTGATCTTGCCTCAGTCCAAGCCTCGCAAATGAAGCACGAAGCATTAGAAAGGGATTTGACTGCCCTAGATGAAAAGATTGTTCAACTTGGAGATGATGCTAAGGCGCTTGCACAGAAGCATCCTGATTCGCTAGACGCTATACAAAGCAAGTATGACGAATTAATTACTGCATGGGATAAGCTGAAAAGTCAGGCTGTAGATAGGAGAGGTAAACTGGAAGAGTCATTCAAGATGCATCGCTTTTCGGCCGACTGGAGAGATTTGAGTATCTGGATGAATGACATGAAGACGTTAATATCGGCGGATGATTTGGCAATGGATGTAGCTGGTGCTGAAGCCCAAGTAGAGCGACATAAGGAATACACCGCTGAAATAAATTCTCGAGCTGACAGTTTCGATACATGCATGCAAGAAGGTCAGGCATTACTAAGTGTTGGCCATCCCTGTAGTGGAGACATCGCTGCTAAACTTTCCACCCTTGAAAGAGAGAGAGCCTCCCTGATGCAGTTGTGTGAGGAAAGACGTGAACAGCTAGAACAGTGTATGGGCCTTCAGTATTTTTACCGCGAAGCTGAACAGTCGGAATCTTGGATTGGTAAGCAAGAGGCCCTCTTAGAAATAAATGATGTGGGAGACTCACTCGATTCTGTCGAAGCACTCATAAGGAAACATGAAGACTTCGAAAAGTCGCTTATAGCACAAGAAGAAAAGATGCGACAACTTGATGAATTCGCTGCAAACTTAATCGAGTCAAACCACTATGCGGCTGCACAGGTTCATGAGATTCAGGAAGGTCTTCAAATTAGACGAAATGCATTAAAGGAGAAAGCTCAGAACCGCCGTCAGCGTCTTCAAGATTCCCACTGTTACCAAATGTTCGATAGAGATGCAGACGAAATGCAGTCATGGATATCAAGAAAACTTAAAAATGTACTTGATGAAAGTTACAAAGACTCCACGAATTTGCAAACAAAGATGCAGAAGCACCAGAATTTCGAGGCAGAAATACAAGCGAACCAATCCCGCGTTGAAGATATTAAAAAGACAGGTCAGGATTTGTTAAATGCAAACCACTACAACTCGCCAGAAATAAAAGTAAAGATTGGACAGTTGGATGAAACTTGGTCTCATCTCGTAAATGCCATGGGAGACAAGAAGAAAAATTTAGATCAAGCAAGTAGTCAACAACAGTTCGCTCGTAACGTAGATGTCAAGTTATGGTTGAATTATGTTGAAGCTCAGATAGCCTCAGAGGATGTCGGTCGTGATCTAAACGGTGTGATGAACGCACAAAAGCTGCACAACTTGCTTGAATCTGATGTAGCTACTCATCGTGAACGTATAGATGCATTCAAAGTCCAGGCTGACACGCTTGCTGCAGAAAGTCATCTCGACGCTCCTATTATCCAAGAAGAACAAAGACAGTTAGCCCAACGTTATCATGACCTGCAAATCCCTCTAAGTCAACGTCGTGAGAAGTTAAGAGATGCCCTTCCCTCGGACACATCTTTGCAGCTTGAATATGGTGACTATAGTGAGCTGATGAAGTTACTAGTCGATTGTTGTAAAGATTTTAAAGCATATTCGCTTAACCAAATTGAATCAGAAATGTGGCATCAGTATGCTGAAAGCTTCACTACTGGCTCATTAGCCACTCACAAAGATGCCTTCAGGTTATGGGTTAAAGATAAGAACCCTGTTGTTGAAAACTATATTGGTTTTATAGAGTCATACCGTGATCCCTTTGGTGTTCGTGCAAGGTTTGAATCATTTGTCACTGTTGTAAATAGAACAGTGTCTAAAAAGTTCCAACGACTTGTAAATAATGCTGAAAGGTTGTTAACAAGTTTACCCTGGTATTCTACGTTTGAAAAAGTTAATTTCTTACAGCCAGACTTTACTAGTTTGGGTGTAGTAACGTTTGCAGCTTCTGGAATTCCTGTTGGAACTAATATTCCTAACTATGATGATGTACGACAAGTTGATGGATTTAAAAATGTTTCTTTGGATAATGTACTTAGTGTTCGTTTCAAGGATCCTAAATCAGTTTTTCTAAGTAATGAAGACAAACATATGTACGTGGAACATGCTGAAAGTTCCTTTGAATTACAAGTTGGACTTCATGAACTGATGGGATATGGTTCAGGTAAACTGTTTTGGCGTGATTGTTATGGAAAACGGAATTTCCACACGAAAACTACTGAATATGTCATAAATGGAGGTCCTGTAAAAGGTTGGTGTGAAGCAGGATTTTTTTTTGACAGCAAGTTTTCAAACCTTTCATCTGCAATAGACAAGTGTCAAGCTGAGTGCGTTGGAATTTATTTATCTGATTTACCTCTTGTTCTGGAGTAGTTCGGTCTGAATACCAACTGTGCTCAAGGCGATGTCTCAGATGTAGTCTATATTAATTGGTTGTCAATGATTCCTTCAGTTGTAACTTCCATGGAGTTTTATTCTCCAGCAGAAAATGCTGTTGACATTGGATCATGGTGTCAAGCACATTACTGTGCTTGTTATGCGATTCTGCGAGTTTTGATTGAAGCTGACGATTTCATGGTACGTACAGATGAAGTAGTCTTTTTTTTTTTTTTTTTTTTTTTTTTTTTTTTTTTTGTTCTAAAAAGGCTTTTAACTACGGTTCGTTCAGCAATTGGTGAATTCTTAAGAAAATTACAATATTACAAAGGTAAAGCGAATGCTATGTATGGATATGCTTTCTCCCAACACTACAGTCAACTACTTCCAAAATATTTGACTGATTTGCTCTGGCATAAATGGCTACGTGGATATCTTCTGATGCTGCAAACAAGATCTAAGTGGTTGGATATAAAGCACAACCTACAACCTGATGATCTCGTCTTAGTTAACAGTGCTGACACACAGAGAGGTCTCTGGCGAAAGGCTATAGTTAAGCAGATGTACTATGACCAAGATGGCCACGTCAGGACACTGTGTTTGAAAACTTCAACTCAAGAAGTGGAACAAGATATAAGAAGCGTACGAAAGGTCAACGTGGTGATCGTTCGCGGGGAGTGTTAATCGCGATAGATAGATAGACTGTATGATAAACAGCCAATCAATACTATGTGACCTTTTTTGTCGCGATCATTGGTCGATTTATTGTAACTCTCACCACGTGATGACCTTGAATGTTCTTTTTTGTCTGTCACTTTACTTGTATATACATGTAATTAATTGACTGTTCATTTTGTCCGTACCTTCAATACTGTTCGGTACGTTTTTGTCCTATTTTTGTAATGACAATGGATTTGTACATTTTTCTTGGTGTAATTGTATGGTTTATTTTATGTTTTAGAAACAGATAAAGTTAAAGTCAAGTCATCCTGTTTTTAACTATAGCTAAGCCGAGACTCTGTGTCGTCAGTATTGAGGAGGGACTAAATCTGTAGGATAAAAATAATCCTACACTGAAGTCACAACTTCTCCAGAGGTGGTTTAAGACGGTGTATACTACCCTGGTTTTTATCATGGATTAGGCATTTTGTTCGCCACACCCATCCAACTCTCCTTGACGATCTAGTCAGTTCCCTGACTGGAGGTTCACTACGATCTTTGTAAACAGCCAGGGGTACGTTGTTTGGGCCCGGTATTTCGTGACACTTGAGTAAATGGAGTTCATTTATGATCAGTTAGATGGATCACTCTTAACCGACTAAGAAACACTGTAATTTAGGAAATTCAATACTGGTGTTATCTTACCTAAACATTTTCTTTTTTGAAGTGAATTGTTCAGCATTTCGGTCTCCTACCTCACTAATACAGTGCTTCTTTCCACCGATGGTTCAAAGGAGCTAAAATAGCTCCCAACTACCTGTAGATGAAGCTCCTGACTTCATCCCATAGGCACGATCCGATCATCGGACTTAGGAGTCTTTGCATAAGCATTAACTGCAGACTACTATACCCGCTACCTTCTAGAATGGGCCGACAGGTAGAAACCAAGTGATTTTTACGCATAACTTTCTTCTCCGCCGCAAGCGGTTTTAATCATCATCATCATAGTCTTGTACGTGTAGTCACTGTTCGTCTATACCCTCTGAAGACTCAGTATACTCTGTCTAGCTCAGTTCGATATTTGGCCATTGTAGTACGTGCAACCATCATTTAACTCAACCTGTTTAGGGCGACCTTTTTAATTATCATTAAATAGCAAGAGAAATCTGGCAAACAATAAAACATGATCGAAATCCAGACAAATGCTTCCAGAGAAGCGATAGTCTTCAGTGTACCCACATCATCGACAGCTGACAGCAATTGTGATCTATTTGCATCCATGTTTGAGTTACAAAAGGAAGATAGCAAGCAATGACGGCTGTACCGGAAACTGGTGTCGGTTAGAAATAGGTTACGATATACACACAGATGCAGAAGACAGTCCCCATTCTCCAATATGTAACTCTATGAATATCAAGGTTTTATCGTCTGTATGATTAATCAACGACTTACAGGTAAAATAAAGTCATTTGTAAGGAGTGGAGATTATCTAAAATGATAGGAATTGATACCTTTACCAGCCTAGCACGTAAAGTTATCATGACTACGGAATTGTATTACCAATTCTCAAGTTACCTTCTTTAAAATGAGCATAAATTCATCTAATTGCAACGTTAAAATCGGCATTAGATCATTATAAAAGTAAGGATGAAGAACACAAACAGTCCTGAGAACTTACTTCAGCACCTAGCCGCTTCCATACGGAGCCTAATTCAACGCCAATAACTCCTGCTCCAATAACCACAAGATGTTCAGGGACCTTAGTCAGAGAGAGTGCTCCAGTGCTTGAAACAATAGACTGTTCATCAATTTCAATCCCGGGGAATGGAGTAACTTCGCTGCCAGTTGCAATGAGGATACGTTCAGTTTCTAGTCGCTTTTCACTTCCATCTTCACATTTAACCAAAACTTCATTGGGACTAACAATTGAACCAACACCTTTGACATGCTCAACCTTATTTAAAAATGAATGTAGTATATATATATATATATATATATATAATTTCTTACAATGAAAATAATGTTGCGGCAAATTGATTACTAAGGTTCAATCAATGCATCACAAAAGGAATGTAACATCAAGAAAAAGGCATTTAGTTTCGCTGAACTACGCTGAAATATAACTATTACATTTGTCCACATTATGAAACTATTGATTTATTAGTTAGATAGTTTAAACTGATACATGTAAAGGCAAGATTCTTATTTTTGAACACTAACTGATGTAATTATTATAAGCCTCCTTGTCCATATTCAAGATTTTTCTTGAATAACACAGATTTGTGGGGGGGAATCTATTGAGATATATAAACACTTAGTGCCAAAGATATCATCAAGGAAATGACGTCCACTTACAAAGAATCTCTTATCTACAAACTGAAAGACCACTGGAAATCTTGCATAATGAAGCCGATCATACGCTTGGTATATACATAGAAAACTGATTTTAGGTATATTTGTATGGTAAAAACATTTTGTGAACTAAGCAAGCTCTGTACGACAATCAAACGTAATATTTTGCTAAGAGACTCAGCTGGCTGAATAAAGATTAAAGACAGTGGATATTTCGATCACGTGACTTTCAGGAAAAGTTGAATCAAACTGAATGAGCTAGTTACCGACGAAATCTCAGTATGAGTGCAAGACTTATTTGCCATATAATCACATGAGTCATCTTTAGCGTAATATCCAGCTACCCATAGAAAGGACCTAACTGTACTTCTATTCGCCAAGTTTCACTTTAAAGTTGCGACATGGCCACTGAAAATAGAAAGTATAAAAGAACCAAAGAATTTAATCACACATGCTTTCAATAAAGTCCTAAAAGTCCATAGACTGGGAATGACTAGGATATTTGTTACATATGTTGAGCTAAAGCATTCCTAAATGAGTTAACCTGAGATTATGATACTACGTCATTTTAATAGCGAAAGGAAGTGATTTCAATTATGAATGCTGAACCAACTGCTTGAAAGATCAAACCATCAATTACAAAGCAGGGAAAATGCTCACTGCCCGGAAAATAAACGTACAGCTTTGTACCATCATGTTTTTTCAGTACCAACATAAAACTAGAGCTTAGATTTATTCAATAGAATGATCAACTTTTGGTCCATTTGCCATGGATTTAAGACTCGCATAATCCATGTACCACCCAACATACAAGTGTTTTCGTTACTATTCTCAATACGAAACTTGTCTACTTAGTAAATTAGCATATGTATGCCTCTTGTATCACATTTATTCGCAACCTACACTGCAGTTAGTGAACTTATGCTTACATCCCAATCACGGAGAGACTGGATGACGGGCATTAGTGATGTCGCTGTATACCAGTTAAACTGCTCCTGTTCTATTCCCGGAGGTCATTTCACTTGACAGTTTATTTACAACCCGTCTACCTGGTGAGTTTAGATATTTGACAGTTGTCAGCTGCTCCTGATACCTTTGCTATTTCATTTACTATTCCCATATCACAGGTTACAAATAAGATACAAGATGCCAAAATGAATGACCATTTCCATTGTAAAATACTCAGGCTATTATTTGTATAACATTGAAAGTACTTGACATGATCTAACTGAAAATACTGCACAAGTTAATGCTTTCAACAAAACATTTCTGTACAATTATTAGGATTGTGTGTGCGACATCTTTCAAATTCCAAATTAAGTCTGCCATCAACTGTCAAGGGGTTTGAAAACAGACGGGAATGCCATGTAGTAGCTAGCCTGTCCGTAGTTCTGCTGTTACAGTTAATACGCAGTATGATAGCCATAGTTACGAATGATTGGAATTATTTTTGTAACCACCATAGCAAGCAAATATCTTCATTAACTTTGTAACTTCCGTTACACGACCCCCATGCTGACTCGCCAATATATATATATATATATATATATATATGTAGCGGTAGGTAATTCCCCAGGATTATTAGCCACAGCATTCATCACTGAACATTGGATGCTGACTCTCACTGTTTTAGTCGATTTGTTTAGCTGAAGGCTTCCGATCAAGCACCCACGCCATTTGGTACGGCGTCGTGTTACGTCCGTTCGTTTGTGCACGATCTGTAGCTAGTTAAGCAATCATCTCGCACTCCAATTTGGTCCTAAAATACAATTCATAATTTGGCCGGTCAATTCCAGTGTTTTGGTCTATGCGGAATGAATACTATAGAAGTTGTGGGTATCAGATCTAGCGTTAGTATACTTCGTACTGTCCCTGAATGTCAACACTCTTAGCATATATATATATGCGATGTATGATTCTAAGACTAAACTGTACAAATCTAGCAGTTAGATTATTTTACATTAACACAAGTTTATATTAAACAGATAATACTACTAAAAGAGTAGTTTAAGAGTCCAAATATTCGAACCAGTGATACAGACACTGTGCTTAAATGTACCTGGATGTAAACCACGAAGATTGTAAAGAAAGACTTACCTTATTTTGTTTAAACAAATATGCTATTCCCCCAGTCAAACTTGAAACGGCTTTTTCTTTCGCTTGTAACATAACTGGGAGGTTTAGCTTGCAGCCTTCAATATCGATTCCACGATTCTTCATTTCTGAGTGCGTAAGATGATACAAATACGAATTGTTTAGAAGCGCCTTGCTAGGAATACAACCAACATTCAGACATGTCCCTCCTAATGTATCATTCTTTTCAACACAGACGGTCTGGAAAAAAAACTATGACCTCAAAGTATAAACTAACCTTCATTCCTAACTGTGCAGCCTTTATGGAAGCAACATATCCCCCAGGACCCGACCCAATAACAACCACATCAGCCTTAAAAAGATTAGCTACAAGTAAGGCAGAAACATGAGAACACTACCAGTTGTCGATAAGTGGCGTGAAATCGACTTAAGAGCTGATCCTATTCGATTCGTCTAAACATAGGCTAGGTTGAATATCATTTAAAACCTACAGTGAGCAGTCTGACCATATTGTAGATTACAGCACACGAAAGGAAAAGCGGTTGTAACGAAAAGCACGAATTTAGCGCTTAAAAGACCTCAATTTACAATGTCTTTTCTAAGCGCTAGTATAGGCGACTGAAATTATCCCGCATGCTCAAAGACTTTGGTTACAAAAGGCACTTGGAATTCATTTTTTCCCATGTTAGTCGGGCGTGTTGGATTGCTGTTTACTAGCTGTTTGTCCACACACTGGTTTTACGTTTATCCTGAAGTTATTCGCTACTTATCTCGATGTAGGTTATTCATTGATGTTGTGTTTCGCATCCTTTTGGTTTCCGTTCCCATTATAATTAGTTATTTCGTTTGTTTCGAAAATTTTTACCACCAGGTCAGTTCATTCATTTCGTCGTAATTGTTCCATACGTTGTTTTTATGTCTTTTACAGTGCTTCAGTTATTTTTCAGCTGGTAATGAAATAATTCCATGTACACGTTTTCGAATTTATGCATATGGTCATGTTCGCGTGGCAGAAGCTGTTGTTTCTAGTTCGTTTGTTAGTTGCCGTCACTGTTGTTGGTTCAAATTCTTACTTGATATGTAGAAATCTAGAAAAAACAATATCTTTCAAGTTGATTTTGATAGCATACAACAATCAACGAGTCAGTCTGGTGAAGAAAGCACGATCAGAGTTGATATTAGTATGGTTTTCGAAGAACAGATTAGATTTAGAGAATCTGGAACCTGGGTTGAAGTTGAAAAAGCTTTGAATTTTCTCAAGAAGTGTATCTGTTATCAGTTAACAAGCACCCGATATGTTGTAAGAGGATCTAAATTAAAAAAGGATAAACCATATTTGAATTACAAATATGTTGTGTTTGTGTGTACTTTTTGAAACAAAAAGAAATCGGGAAGCAGTCACATCTGTCTTAAAGGGTAAGTTACCCACGTTTGTTAATGCTTAATGGAATAGACCTAAGTACATTGGTTGCTCATCTGTGATACTCATCCGATGTCAGTGCAGTGAACTTATTATTCCATCTGTATACATGATTCATAATCACTGTTGTACTTATGAATTTCGAGGATCCTTTCGGACAAAAAATGAACTTCTCAGACAGTACATATCCAGTAGGACTCGCGAGGAATCAGTTAAAAGGTGAATTTTAGAACTAATCATAAATTTATTTACAGACTTTATACATACCTTAGCATCATATACCACCTAGATTCTCTTGTTGGGAGATATAAACACAGGTAGCGGTTACCTTCAAAGAAATTATGGGTAACAGCATTCAATCATATTTCCAACGACGTGTTTCTCGTCGATGGATTCGCATATTAATATTGGTATGGCTCAAGGTGCATGTATTTGCGGACTGTTACCATCTGCAGGTTTCCTTGTCGTCGTTTAATGATTACTCATACAATCTTAAAAATTTTAATTGATGATTATGGACCCGATCTTTTGTCTCTTTTCCTTCCCACTAGGTCAGAGCACCTTAGAGGACATAGCAGGAGAGTTCGAAAGCCAAGGAGAAACCATATTGCTGTGAAGAACTGGTTCTCACACCGAGTCATAAGCTTCTGGAACCGACTCCCAGAAAAGGTGGTGTCTGCAACCTCAATTGATTCATTTAAGAAGGGTTCGGACAATCACAGAAATTTACTAGAAGAGGATTAACATAGGCTCCAAGCCTTCTATCCTCAACCAATAAATTTGAAAAACTCATCTCCATTATTAGTGACCAAAAACATTGAACAGTCGAGATTAAGCACACAGTGTCAGTGGAAATGGTGTAACAGAGAGTAGATTGAAAAAATGGAGCTGAGTAGATTAAGTTCTCATATGAACACAAATCATATGAGTAATAATACTACACACTAAAATCATGCATTAAGTGATACACTGATACATATTAAGCGAGCAATTACTTTCTCTACTGCACTTGTAGCAATCTTGTGAACCATCCATATGTTAGCCTGACAGTCAACTAAGCAGACAGTGGCACAACATTAACAAAGTTGGGATATTTTTTATACACCTAATTCACATTACATTGTATCGGTCAGTGTGATTACACACTAAATCCACCTATAGATAACTTTTTGACTGACGATAGTTCCTCTCAAGACACACAAATAGTTAAAAATGCATTTACTTCATAACTTTTGTTCTCACAGAAGGTTCTGTTAGCCTTCGTAGATAATTTCCATGTACTGATAGCAATTTTTTGTCAAATGGTACTGATCTTCACATGAAGGTAGGCTGTATTGGTATCCTGAGTCAAGTGAAGTCTTCATTGAATGACACGGCCAAAATGTGTAGTTTCTACGTGAAGTAGACTATTTGTATAGATGACATTACCCTCCTAGCATCGCATTCTTCTCATTTTAGCAATATTTCAACACAGTTCTCTTGAAACACAAATCATTGTAACCAGTATGCTGAGTGTCCTGCAGTCAGATCACATGTGGCAGATACCGACATGCGATGTCGGAAAATGAGAGTTCTCACCAATCCAGACAAGATATAAAGCAATTTTATTGAAAATTATTCACAAAATATTTGCTAAGTGAAGTTTCCACCGACGTGCCGAAGAAGTCAAGCCGCCAGCACAGACCAGTTTGATTTCTTTATGCCGGCTTCCTTGTTGTGAGGTTAAAGCTCCTGGTCCTCGGTGAACTCCTGAATAGTTCGTACCACCGCTCGACTGTTGGAGCTTGGTTATCTCCAAAAGGAATGGTATTAGGACTAATTATATTTGGTTTTTAGTATGCGGTTTGTTAAGATCTTGTCGCTACTGTGAGTGGAGTTGAACTTTTCACCCATTCATCATCCTTTATGGTCAATAAAAGAGTTAACGGTAATGGTAACAGATTTAATGAGTGTAGGTCATATAGATTTAAAAATAAAAAGGGGAAATGTAAAAGCAGACAGCTAATGAAATTTGGAATTGGTACATATATATTTACATGCATATATTTACGCAGATATATATCAACAGTCATAGTGTGAGGGACGTGACAGCTGGAGTAGTCAGGAGACTAACACAAGGGAGGATGTGAAGAAGTAAAAGGGCGAGTTTAGGTGTGTACTCGTTAACAGTGTGAGAGTTTTAAGGGGATAGGCCGAATGGATGCGGTCCTTGTGTCATTGCGTGACTGTCCAGCCTCTGCTTAAAGCTGCCCGCGGACGGCGCAGCAGCCACGTCTGCCAGCAGAGAGCTATAGGGGCGGCAAACGTGAAGTGAAAAGAAATGGGAGTGCACTCGGGTCTTTGCTCTCTGGTGAGCTATCTTCTTTGGATTCCCACGAGGAAACCCATAAGAACTTAATGGCAGAATATCTTTGGGTGATTCTGGTTATTTTTTATCTTATAGGCAGTAATTAGGTCCCCCCTAAGCCGATGGTAGCTACGTGTGAAAATAACTGATTTATTTAGCAGTTCAACATATGGTTCATTTCGGAGACCCATCACCTGTTTTGTCACCCGTCTTTGAACTCTTTCCCAAAGGTTGGCGTCTCTTCTAAGCGGCGGGGGAGCAGTGATACTGTGCACTTCGGGGTATGGTCACATGTATGGATCGTGCAACCTTGGAGAGAGCTCAGAAGTGAGCGTACCTAGTTGTCTGTTTGTTAAGTGTATGACCCCATATGCCCTCTCTACATCGCCCATGGAATTTTCGCTCGTGCCCATATCTTCCGTCAGAACTATACCCAAGTTGCGCTCCGACGTTGTGCAGGACAAGTTTTTGTCGCTCAGGAAGCCTACAGGTGCGTAGTTGCGCTACTATGCACTTTTTCAGGTCTCAGTTCATACCATTGGCCGTCTTCCAGTCTTCCAGAACTTTTAGGTTCGCTTGCAGCCCATCTGAGCCTTCTAAGCACTTTATTGCTCCCCGGATCTCGACGTATTCAGCGTAAAGAAGATTCGGGCAGCTTAGATGGCACCGTAATCGACTGATAAAAATCAAAATCATCAGTGGCCCAAGGATAGAACCCTGCGATAATCCTGGTGACCACCTGTACCAGGACGATCAGACACGATTGGCATTGGTGAAGAATTTCCTGTCATCTAGTTAGTCCTCCAACCATGACAGAAATGTCCCACCTACACCTGGCTGACTACTTTATTCTATGTCATGGTGGACGGTGCCAAATGCCTTCTCAAAGTCTAGGAAGTTCACATGTGCTGGAACATTCATAGCCCAGCATTATGTCCAGTCATTCCGAGCTGATAGTCGGTTTGTTACACAGTATCTACCTCTCCTGAACCATGTCGTGCTTCATGGGGTGTATTAGCCCTGTCAAGGTGTACCCTGATGTGATCATCGATTAAACTTTCCAGTACTTTCGATGCCACTAGGAGTAGTGCTACTGATCTATAACTGGTGGTATTTTGCCTATTCCCACCCTTGAAAACAGGAGAAAGGATGGCTCTCCTCAACTCTCTCTGCAATTTCCCTGAATCCATTGAATGTTGGGAAAGGTGACACAGGGGCCTCCAGAGAGCTTCAGCGTACTGTTTTAGAACAGATGGTTCCATGTCTTCACAACCTGGGGGCTTTCCAGGTGTGAGTCTCTGTAACCACCTTAGTCCTATTGTCAGGTATACCTGAAGCGTAGCCACCAGGTTTGCCTTCGGTAAAATAGTAGTGCTGTGTTTTTGGTCTACAGCGTTAATACCC